ACAAAATCTCCCAATACCTATCAACAAACTGTTAGTAACCAAGAAACATCAGTATCCACTAATACCTATCAACAAACTGTTAGTGACCAAGAAACATCAGTATCCACTAATACCTATCAACAAACTGTTAGTGACCAAGAAACATCAGTATCCACTAATACCTATCAACAAACTGTTAGTAACCAAGAAACATCAATATCCACTAATACCTATCAACAAACTGTTAGTAACCAAGAAACATCAGTATCCACTAATACCTATCAACAAACTGTTAGTAACCAAGAAACATCAATATCTACTAATACCTATCAACAAATTGTCTGTAAACAAGAAACATCAGTATCCACTAATACCTATCAACAAACTGTTAGTGACCAAGAAACATCAATATCCACTAATACCTATCAACAAACTGTTAGCAACCAAGAAACATCAATATCCACTAATACCTATCAACAAACTGTTAGTAACCAAGAAACATCAGTATCCACTAATACCTATCAACAAACTGTTAGTAACCAAGAAACATCAGTATCCACTAATACCTATCAACAAACTGTTAGTAACCAAGAAACATCAGTATCCACTAATACCTATCAACAAACTGTTAGTAACCAAGAAACATCAGTATCCACTAATACCTATCAACAAACTGTTAGTAAACAAGAAACATCAATATCCACTAATACCTATCAACAAACTGTTAGTGACCAAGAAACATCAATATCCACTAATACCTATCAACAAACTGTTAGTAAACAAGAACCATCAATATCCACTAATACCTATCAACAAACTGTTAGTGACCAAGAAACATCAATATCCACTAATACCTATCAACAAACTGTTAGTAAACAAGAAACATCAGTATCCACTAATACCTATCAACAAACTGTTAGTGACCAAGAAACATCAATATCCACTAATACCTATCAACAAACTGTTAGTAAACAATAAACATCAATATCTACTAATATCTATCAACAAACTGTTAGTAACCAAGAAACATCAATATCCACTAATACCTATCAACAAACTGTTAGTAACCAAGAAACATCAGTATCCACTAATACCTATCAACAAACTGTTAGTGACCAAGAAACATCAATATCCACTAATACCTATCAACAAACTGTTAGTAAACAAGAACCATCAATATCCACTAATACCTATCAACAAACTGTTAGTAAACAAGAAACATCAATATCCACTAATACCTATCAACAAACTGTTAGTAAACAAGAACCATCAATATCCACTAATACCTATCAACAAACTGTTAGTAAATAAGAAACATCAATATCCACTAATACCTATCAACAAACTGTTAGTAACCAAGAAACATCAGTATCCACTAATACCTATCAACAAACTGTTAGTAAACAATAAACATCAATATCTACTAATATCTATCAACAAACTGTTAGTAACCAAGAAACATCAATATCCACTAATACCTATCAACAAACTGTTAGTAACCAAGAAACATCAGTATCCACTAATACCTATCAACAAACTGTTAGTGACCAAGAAACATCAATATCCACTAATACCTATCAACAAACTGTTAGTAACCAAGAAACATCAATATCCACTAATACCTATCAACAAACTGTTAGTAACCAAGAAACATCAATATCCACTAATACCTATCAACAAACTGTTAGTGACCAAGAAACATCAGTATCCACTAATACCTATCAACAAACTGTTAGTAACCAAGAAACATCAGTATCCACTAATACCTATCAACAAACTGTTAGTGACCAAGAAACATCAATATCCACTAATACCTATCAACAAACTGTTAGTAACCAAGAAACATCAGTATCCACTAATATCTATCAACAAACTGTTAGTAACCAAGAAACATCAATATCCACTAATACCTATCAACAAACTGTTAGTAACCAAGAAACATCAGTATCCACTAATACCTATCAACAAACTGTTAGTAACCAAGAAACATCAGTATCCACTAATACCTATCAACAAACTGTTAGTAAACAAGAAACATCAATATCCACTAATACCTATCAACAAACTGTTAGTGACCAAGAAACATCAGTATCCACTAATACCTATCAACAAACTGTTAGTAACCAAGAAACATCAGTATCCACTAATACCTATCAACAAACTGTTAGTGACCAAGAAACATCAATATCCACTAATACCTATCAACAAACTGTTAGTGACCAAGAAACATCAATATCCACTAATACCTATCAACAAACTGTTAGTGACCAAGAAACATCAGTATCCACTAATACCTATCAACAAACTGTTAGTAACCAAGAAACATCAGTATCCACTAATACCTATCAACAAACTGTTAGTGACCAAGAAACATCAATATCCACTAATACCTATCAACAAACTGTTAGTAAACAATAAACATCAATATCCACTAATACCTATCAACAAACTGTTAGTAAACAATAAACATCAATATCTACTAATACCTATCAACAAATTGTCTGTAAACAAGAAACATCAGTATCCACTAATACCTATCAACAAACTGTTAGTGACCAAGAAACATCAATATCTACTAATACCTATCAACAAACTGTTAGTGACCAAGAAACATCAATATCCACTAATACCTATCAACAAACTGTTAGTAACCAAGAAACATCAATATCCACTAATACCTATCAACAAACTGTTAGTAACCAAGAAACATCAATATCCACTAATACCTATCAACAAACTGTTAGTAACCAAGAAACATCAGTATCCACTAATACCTATCAACAAACTGTTAGTAACCAAGAAACATCAATATCCACTAATACCTATCAACAAACTGTTAGTGACCAAGAAACATCAGTATCCACTAATACCTATCAACCAACTGTTAGTGACCAAGAAACATCAATATCCATTAATACCTATCAACAAACTGTTAGTAACCAAGAAACATCAATATCCACTAATACCTATCAACAAACTGTTAGTAGGACATCAAAAGATGAACCATTACCCATAGTAAGGAACAACCTTAAAACATTTAAAGACTTAAAAGCAGTCGGTAACTTACTTTGATCATGAGACTATTGGTAAGGACTCGTCTCATGATCCTCTACCTTCTGGATTAGAGTCAAAATGTAAGAAAACCTGTGTTGCAGTGACAATTGTTGCTTGTGAAATACTGCTAGATGTAAATTAATGGTAGATGACAGTTATATGAGACAAACACATAACTTAAAAAATTCAATTAATTTCCTTATATAAAATATTTGCAGTCATGTATGCACTTATCTAAATAATGTGTAGCCCAAACTTTTGGGTAGTTGATTCACTTTCAACCAGACAATAGGAATACATGTTTTTTTTTATATATATTTGTAATAACCAACCCCTCCAAAAAACAAAGTGTTATGAAATTAATCTTTGCACACAGGTTTTACAATCTTTTTCCCAAAGTTTGTAAATGACAGACATTGTATATATTGTACTTTTGTAAAATGGTCAGAATGTGCTGAGAAACAGAATGGAAATAGGGAAGGTTTCTCCTGTCACTCTTGCATAATTAATACAACAAAGTGTGTAAAGTTTCATAGAGTTCTTCAAGGAATGAAGTTACTAGATTACTGCAGGCAGGGATTAAAAAAAAAAAAATGGTAACAGTGACCAAGACTCCATCACCCTGAAATTTTAACTTTTCAATCATATTAGACGCCTTTGAATGAGTGTGAAATTTTATCAAAGGCACTGAAGAAATTAAACTACTTGGGTGCTGAGTAGCAGCAACCTTGACCTTGATCCCACTACTCCAAAACACAAATTTGTCCAAGATATTATAGTCCTTTTTAAGTTGATGTAATAAAGCTCCTTGAGTGCCGACAAGAAATTTCCAAAAAGGGAACAGTAACATTGACCCTAACACCTTGAAATTCAAATTTGATCCTTAACTTCCATTTGGTCTTTCAAACTCACCTTTTTTGTAAATGGTTATGTCTGAGGTTTTGAGAGGTTTGATATACAAGCTGGGACTTAACTGTACAGACTGAACTGGTTTTCTCCTCAACCTTTCAAGATTACTTAGACCATTGTATTTCTATTGTAATACCAGAGTGTTTTAAAGTGCATTATCACAACTGTACACTGTTCCATTCTGTAATACTTCTACCAGAAAATGACCAACTTCAAATGGTTAAAGGTTTTGTCATTTATGTTGGCTCTGGTAAGAAGTCGAGAGAATCAGGTTTAATTATTCAAAAAAGGAGATTGCTGACTTGAAACATATGGTGTCTGCTAATGAAATCTCAGGCAAAGTATATTCCAATCATTGATTGTCTGGGGAAAGGAGGATTCTTTCCTTATGGACATTCTGCAAATGATATTTCAGAAAGATTTTTTATGACAGTGTCTTGAAGGCCATGTAGTGAGGATCAGCTGTTAGAGGTTGCTATGGCATATTAATGTAGCATGTTCAGCTGCTGGTCGTTTCTGTGACTGGCAATGTCATGTCATTAAATACAGTCTAACATGTTACCAACACTTGAGGTGTTATGATACATAATGGGCAGTCCTGTACCATCTCTATCTTGTCAGTGTCTTTTTAAACCTCAATATTGTGATATGCTTTTTTTTTCATGTTCACTCTTTATTAGTTTTACTTTTTACAATCTTAGGTAGGTTAACTAGTATATATTAGAATATATGAACCTTGAAATATTTTTTTATCACAGCAACCGAACATGTTTCATGAAAAATAATCATAACATTGAGAAAAAAATACCAGGAATTTAACCCGATTCCTGTGATAGTGTACAAAATATTGAAATCTTGATACGATAAGCAGGTGGACAAGTATAAGTCCAGTACAGATGTCTACTTGACTGATCGCTAATTCCAAGTTCTCACATTAAATATATATGCTGTCAGTATGATTGATCGCACATGGGGTTTGACACAGGTAAACTGACATACACACACATACACATTGTCAATATGTCACATGCGAACTAATGTAATTGTGTCAATATTACCTTTTGAGACTTGGACGCTGTAAATGAAGCACACAGGAGCACTGATACAACGGCAAATCCCACTAAGGATTTCGTCATGTTGAACGTGTAAGCTCACGAAAGTACTACTTCCTTCTAAATGGGGGGAATGAAACCATCTGCTTGTCCACAAGAGGTTCCCATTCGATTACATCTACCAAATATAGAACACGCATTCTTATTGGTCAAGTCCGTTTGGTTGCGCCCAATCAAAGTAGTGTTCATTTAATATATCCTATTTCTTAAAACTCACTATAGGCAATCCCACGCTTTACTTATAGTCAGTTTCAGAATCCTGCTGATCCTGTTTTTACGGCCCGTGAAATCTTTCAGATTTTCCATCATGTAAAACTTAACTGATTTCAGACACGTATATAACGTGCTATACATGAATCTGCTGATTTGAATATGATATGCCATGTTATATTAAGAAGAATATTCAAGTAGCAAAATTTCTGACTGTTCTGTACCTTTTAAAAACTCATCCTCGTGACTTTTAAAGCATTGTTAGCATCAAAATATCTCTCGTGTGGTCAGTTTGAACCAGCGAAATGGGTGGGAATACTCGCAGCCAACCCGTCTAAATATAGCGCATCGGGAAATCCGGAACTGAAAGGTCACTGGCTCATAGATGTTATGCAGAATTATTGGGTAGATGCACAAGCGTGTATGCTGTTCACAAAATTGCTAGGTTGCAATTTTATCACTTTATTCGTTTTTTTCCTGCTGATTTTATCATTTCCGTTTGACATCATATTTCTTAAGCATTATTCTGCTGCGGCGCCATGGTAACAAATATCATTCTGTTCGACTTTTAGCAACGCCAACCGGATATGACGTAATCAGGGCCGCGCGAACGTTTGTAAATCGACCTAGCTCGACTAAAACTTTCGCAAAAAAACATGTTTGTTTAAATGGTGAACTGGGGTGTAAGATCAGTGGTAGATGATTTAGTACAATTTTCTTAAATAACATCCTTTCAAACCCTAACATGTGCGGAATACCCCTTTGACTTGTCTCATAATTGAGTTTTCATCACCACTTTCCATTTGACATCACATTTCTTCAGCATTATTTCAATGATTTAAACATATTTTATTTTCAGTAGCAGATAAATGGACCAGAGACAAGTTCTAACAACTTATGAACTCTTCTCCATAAATAAAATTACAAATAATTAATATACTGCACGTGACACATCAACTGCGCATGGCCCTGGGTATGAGATTCCCGGGTGTTCTGCTGCGGCGCCATGGTAACAAAAAAGAAAAAGAAGAAGGGTTTGGTTGTTCTTCCAAGAACCACACGACTACAGTCGTAACGGTCTTATTGATAAATATCGGTTATCCGTGCATTAGGCACAGAATCAAAGATCGTGCTAAAAGCCTTCATACGGGTTACCGCATCTATATTCAGCAGTTTTCCAAAGAGGTCGTGATCAAGAGAGATGACACAATTTCTCTGTTGGGAAGTAAGAATGGTTCATTTAGATAAAACTCATACCTGAAATCCATTAATACTGATACAGTTAAAATTACTCGTGCAAGACGACTTGACCAATGGTGATACTGCAACTGAAGTGAAGACAGTGATGATTCCCAAAAGCTATATAATTTATAATATACATTTATGAATTTTAAGGATTTCACGTAGAGATTAGTTATTCCCTAATGCTTTCATACATTGTGCGATTATGTTGCAGCTCATGTAGTAAACATTTCAGAAACACTACCTAAAATTCACACCAATCTGCGTGCCACAAACAAATGTTAAGTTACAGATATGTTGAGAAAACAATGCTGTTGACATAGACATATCTTCAGAGATATCGTAACATTTCGACAACGGACATGTGAGAGAAATGTTCTTGTATGATGTATGACATCATGCAAACATTTATCATGCCACACGGTCACCTCCCTTCGTTTCGCTCAGTGATGACACAGCGATAAGCTTGTCAGGCAATGAGATCGAGATGGACATTTATGTGATGGACACGAGAAAAAAAACCGTTAGAATCTATGAATATTGGGCAAACAGACCATCGGCTATCGTAGATTGTTTTAACTATCCGCTATGCACAAACTTTTCGATAACATATCGCGAAATAATTGTCTTTTCTGAGTTACGTCCCTTGATACGAAACCATCCGATTGGAGGTAGAAAAAGCAAAAATGGCGGATAAAAGGAATCGCTTGAAAAGAATTACCAGGCCTTCAGGAGAAGAGTTGGGTAGTTATCGGTACATTTATGCCTTTTTTGCATGGAAAAAAATATTTCAGCTACAGTAGCAAGTTTGCAACTAGTTCTCATGTCAATGCCATGTAGATTTATAGGATTTTCCACATCAACCCAGAAAACTGTAACGTAAATGTTACCTACGATTGTATTTATGTCCTTGTTCTGTTTATGCTCGGTGTCAAATAGATGCTTGGATTGATGTTATATTTACAGTCACATAGTCAAAGCGATTAGGAGTCTAAGATTGTCTAGGGGGGGTTTACTTCCGGCAGTTTTCCCGCTGTCCTGTGCAGTATAAAAGGGGACTGGCAGCGTAGGATTAGGATTATTCTGTTCTGGCCGTTGAAGAATTCACATCTGTTAGCGGCAGGTGTATAGCAACATCATTGAGCTCGTGTACGAAGCATAGTTGTGCAGATGAGCAGCGTTAAGGGATAGGGCTGAAATAGTGCCTTGTACTCCACCAACCTCTCTGTTACACGCGTTCCGACTCATCGTTGTGCTGGTTATTTAATCCACTGGTAGAAACTCACTTTACACGTTACGCCTTACACGTTACATTAACTGTAACACAGTATTTTATACGTAGTTCCCCAAAATACGAGTTGACCTAAGCTTGGAAAATAGTAACTCGCTATGTATGTTTCTAGTGAGGAGGATGAGGTTAGAGACATAGATGCTCGTTTGGAAGAGCTTCGTGGCACTTACAGAAGTAAGGAGGCTGTAGACAGGGCAAGTCCGTTGAGAGAAACACCTCGTCACAGATTTTCAGAAACTTCGCCTGAGTCTGGATACCGGTCCAGTGCTAGCTCATCACATCAACTGCACGACATGAGCATAGACAATAATTTTGGTAATAGTGGGAGATTGTCCTTAGCAGCTGAACTATCAAAGTCTATTGATGAGGAAATCAAGTCGACGAGAACACAGCTTAATGATATGAAAATCGAGAACGATCGACTCCAGACTCCATTGTCTAATCCTATGACGTCACGGCATCGACGTAGTGTCACATTTAGGAATGACTACCCAAATATGCCCAATCACCCAAATATTACTCAGCGGCGCGCTGATATTAAGGAACACCAAGATTTTGAGTCGCCGTCGAACCCTGGTCAACTGCGTACAAACTCTGTAAAAGTGAAGGCCTCCACATTCGATGGGACGACGTCCTAGAGAGACTAAAAATCTCATTTTGAGGAATGCGCCCGCATAAATGAGTGGACAGAGAAACATAAATGGCTTTACCTGGCAGTGAGCTTGACAGGCTCAAGGGATCCTTGGTGATATACCTGTAGGGTTACAGGAGGACTACCAATCACTGGAAACTGCTTTGGAAGAAAGGTTTGCTCCCCCTAACCAAACGAGCTACATAGGATACAGTTGTTGGAGCGTAGACAGAAGGCTGGTGAGAGCCTACCCGAGCTAGGGCAAGCCATACGAAGGCTGGTTAATTTAGCTTACCCCACGGTACCATCCGATGTGAGAGACACCTTAGCTAAGCAGCAGTTTATAGACGCTCTGGTCGACTCGGATATGAGGATACGGATCAAGCAGTCAAGACCTGTAAACCTGACAGATGCAATCCGTTTGGCCGTTGAATTGGAAGCGTATAACTGAGCAGAGAAATTTGGGAAAGAAGGTCGTTCACCACGCATAGCATCCTGAGGTTGTAGAGAGTCTACCGTTGCAGCTAACCGCAGAGATGAGCAGTTTTCAGAGTACTCTGGAGGGACTTGAGAAAAAGCTAGAATCATTACAACAAGAGGTCAACACAATAAAAAGAAAGACAGTGAAGAAAAATGACAGTCAGCCTCAGAAAAAGCGGTGTTATAAGTGTGGAGAAGAAGGTCATATACGACCAAACTGTCCAGAGAACAATAATAGTGGTAAAGCGAGCAAACAACTGGACTCCTCCACACCTTCCGCCAAACCTCTTCGAGCCTGGAGGAAAAGGAAACCAAATGCTGGAGTTGGTATATCTTCTGCTGTGCATGAAGCTGGTCTATATGTCAAAGCAAATGTTCAGGGACTGGAGACTAAATTACTGGTTGATACCGGTGCTACAATAACTCTGATCTCAAAGGAAGTATATGATCGCTTATCAACCTCGGTAAAGCCGACATTGAGGGAAGTTGAACAGGATATTCTGGCTGCGAATGGCACTAATCTAGATGCTGTTGGGAAAGGAGGATTTCTCTTTAAATTGGAGGGGTGCGAAGAGACATACTTTGAGGCAGTAGTAGCAAGCATTGGTACAGACGGAATTCTAGGCTTAGATTTCATGCAAGCCAAGAAAGGAGTCTTAGATCTCCGACATGGATGTTTAACCATAGACGACTATGCTGTTGAGATGAAATATGAGGGAGCGCTTGGGTGCTTTCGAGTCTATGCATCTGAGAAAATCAACCTGCCCCCTTCTAGTGAAATAATTATTTCTGGCAAGGTGTGTTTCCCTGAAGGAAAACAACCAGAATGTAACAGCTTCACAGTGGAAGCGAACGAAAGTTTCTTGAGAAAAAAGAAAGCATTAGTGGCTAGATCTTTAGTAGCCAAATGCTCAGAGGTTCCGGTAAGAGTAATGAATCTTACAGAGGAATCACAAGTCATATTTCCTGGAACATCGATAGCTCAATTGACCCAGGTACAGAGTGTTTTGAGTCCTAGTCCATTGAGTAAGGAGAATGCGGACATCGAAGAATTAAGGGAAGACTTGAGGTCTCTGCTAGATAGATCAAAAGAGCATTTAAACAAGACACAACAACAGGAGGTGGTAACATTACTGAAACAGTACAAAACTTTGTTCGCTGCATCAGCTCGGTATTTGGGATGTACTAATTTTGTGAAGCATAGCATCAATACCGGAGATGTACAACCCATAAAGCAGCCTCTCAGAATTGAAAAACCTAT